ATTTGAGACAAAGAAGCATTTGGAATAACTGAGATTTTATTCATGTTTGAAAAAGGCATATGCCCCAAACGCTTATGCCAAAGGCTTACATCAGTAGACCCTCTAAGAAGACTAGAAACTGAATTGGAAATTGCAACATTTACTGGCTTCTTAGAATTGAAAACAGAATTAGAAATTGCGGCATTACTAGGTTGCTTACAATTGACCTTAAACTATGAAACACCTTGATTTCTATTCTTAGAATTAGACTGACCAGGTTGCAAGATGTATAGACCTCTCTTGACTTCACCAAGAACCAGAAGCCTCTTCATTGAAGAGCCCTGCATCATAACACTGGAAGAGAAAATTAGCAGACAATTAAATTATTTACACAACTTTTGATTAGAGAGTAAGTTGTATCTGAAACTTGAAATATATAAGACATTTGAAAGAATGAGATTTGGAAAGACTCTGCTCTTGATACCAATTAAAAACAAAGATGAGAAAATTGCTGATGGTATTCATTGAATAATATGTTGTGCATCCTAGTGTATTTATATAGATGAATGGAATATTTGGAACATTCTAATACCTATACATATATCTATTTTTAATTGTCTAGTACTATATACACTTTTATAATATTTGAATTTCCATATAAATCTGGCTCGTATACATAATTATGTACAAGTTCCTTCTATCCGTTGGAGTCCAGCCGTGGAGCATATGTGAAGCACGTGAGCAATCTATGCTTAGGATGAGAAGAGATTGATGGTACATATTGCATTTCACAAGAATTAAAACCATTCTTTGATGTTGACTATTTTGACTGAAACTTCAACGCATCATCCTAACTCTTTTTCTTTAGACAACAATATCTGCTTCTTTTCCCTTTCTTTATCCATAACTGCATTCGACAAGTTGGACATCCCAATATAAAACCATAACTTACTTGAAGAAGTTGATAATTGAGGCAAGTACTTTTTATCAATACTATTCCAGTGATAACATCTTACGCGAATCTGAGTGTTGATTATATTTGTCTATCGAAAGAGTGAGAGAGAACAAGAAATGGCGCACCACGTTTTCCAATTACGTACACTTTCTTCTGGAAAAGGTGGCAGGCTCATACTGTTACAAGATGCAAACATGGCGGTATATCATTGGTCCGTTGCTGTTTCTTCCTAAGCTAGTTTAGTCATTTTTAGCTATTGGAAAACTAGTTGCGTTAATTCCAAAAACCTACATGGAATATGATAAAAAAAAACTAGTTCAGATTAATTTTTGGATGAAATTTTTTCTTTCACTCACAAAACTTTAAAAAAAATTCAAATAAAATTCATGTTCAAACACAATTTAAACTTTCAAAATTAGTTTCCAACACAACTTTAAAAACTCTTTTTTCAAGTTTCAACTAAATTTATGTCCAAACGGCAACTTAATATTTTTCATTTCCAGGAATAATTTGAAAAACTAAAGTTGTTCTCTTAAATCAGATATAAGTACTGGACACGGAGTTTAAGAAAAAATGAAGAATTTTGAAATTTGTGGTCCTAAACAAGTCAAAAAGGACCCAAAAGGATAGAATTATAAGTTTAAACTAAATTATTTTCAAATTTAGAAAGAGATTATTCTTTTTAGAACGAACCAAAAAGGGGAAAGAGTACTTGTTTATGGCTTTCCCAAAAGATGCTGTACTAGGTGGGTAAATATTACTCCTTTCAGATGCGTAATTACTTTTGGAGTTCTATTTTTTTCAGTGCTTTCTAGGAGATCATTGATTTTAAGTTTCCTAAATGGAATTATTATCTTGGTTTGGCAAATTAAAAAAAAATCTTTCAAATTAAAACAGTATAGGACTTACATAAAAGAGGTTACATTTTACATGATACTAGTCTCTCGGCATGTGCGTTGCACGTGTATGACAAATCCTTTATTACATGGTGTTGTAAAATAATATCAATATTAATAAAACAATTCTTTGCAAAATTGTTTTGGATAGGACATTTTTTGTATTTTTCCCTCAATAACCATGTACAAAATTTGGTATGTTAAACTCAGATTGTAATTTTTCTACAGGACCACATCAATGATCAATGAAAGCTTTTTTAATTTTAAAAAAAGAATAAAGTACAAGTTTCTGTGAATGATTAATGTGATTATAGTATGGTGACTTTCTTGTCGAGGTCAAGATTTTAATGAGATACATGTGAAATTTTTAATATTTGATGAACTGTATTTCAGCTAATACTTTCTTATGGATGATGAATTTACGGTCATTCATCCGTTTCAATCACCCTATCATGAACATGACTCTTGTAGATTGACACACCAACAATAATATTTTTCAGACAAATACAACTTTAGATATCAATTTAGTTTATAATTTATTTTACTATCAAGAAAGATAACTAATTTTCTCTTTTTTGTCATTTTTCCTTCGTATCTTTGCAAATTTTCTTTCTTCCTCAAAAGTGGTTGCATCAACATCATCAATCTTGGCAAGCATGAGCAGAGCTAGCACGCAATAGCTTTGATTTAAACTCTGTATTTGTTTTTATAAATTTATTGAATATAAAAAAGTTATTAATTTAGAACCAATAACTTAAATGAATTAAACTATCAAACTCATAAGTTTCAAATCCTGGCTCTACCTGGCACATGGGCTAAGCTACATGTTATAAAAGGTGGTCAGTCGTCAGAAAATTACAGTGGGTATATAAATAAAATATTAAATTTTAGGGGTATATAACATATATTGAACACTCTTTCTCGGAGAATATTTTTTACTTTTTTTAAATTTAAACACCCTTGAGTAAATTTCTAGCTGCCACTGACCTGGCAAGGCAATTTTTGTAGTTGAAAGGCTGCTCCTATGCAAATTTCGTTGATATATATATATATGAGGCACCAGTATTACCATAAAAAATATATTTTTTTCAAATAGAAAGTTATTTCTTGTGACTGTATAATTCGTTGCATGCATATTGCAACATAAAGCTATGACTATTCTAACAAATAGTACTCATATTACATGATGTCAACCCGTTTCAATCCTGATTGGGCCAAACGGGAAGACGCATAAAATTCTCTTTATTTGCTCTTTATAGAATGCGTAGCCTGTGAGTGCACTCTGGCAAAGTTGTTGGACAGGTGCAGTATTTTAGCCATTTGACGGGGAGAGCTCTTAATCGATAGGAACCTTGTCTCTCTTATAAATCAGTAGAGTACTAAATATACAAAGGATACATGTGGTTACATGAAGTCATAAGACAAGTCAATAGGTGCAACCCATAGAAATTGTATGCAACCTTGCGGAGAAATGTCTTCTAGAGAAAAAAAGCACAAGAAGGTCCTTCTGCTAACGAATTTGTCATCTCTAGAAATATAACAATATTATAATATTCAAACTACATAGAAATCCTAGCGTAGCATTTAGACAAATTCAGTTCATAATTATAAGCCTTGGTTTAGTTGTAAACTTCACAAATTGAAAACAAATGTTGTAGCATTTCATTATTACAAGAAATTAACTCTAGAATGAAATCAGAGTAATAAAGAAACAAATAAAGTTAAATCAAATTCTTGATGGTGACTTGAAAATTTCATGAATTGGCTGAACAACAATTAGAATAGTAATCCCATAGAACGAATGACTTCATAAACTGTCCGAACAACAATTAGAATAGTAATCCCATAGAACGAATGACCGATATATATTGGATTTTAAACTTTGAATGATTAGCCAACCACTATAAATGCCCGTAGAAATAATAGTAATTTAATCAAAAATGTGAAAAAATACAAACATGGAAGAAAATATAGAAATTGTTAACACGTGTAGCCATGCAAGATTAAAAGCAAAATACAGACAAATTTGCTATAAATTCTAACAGAAGTTTTAAAAACCAAAACTGTCATTCAGCTAGTGATGAAAAAAATAGGAGAATGACCAAAAATACGCATAAAAGAGAACTAATAAACTAAAAGGAAATGAAAGACTTACCTCTTGGAAAAATAAAATTAGTAAGCATATTCATCAGTTTGTAAGCTATTTGAATGATTTGCCTATCGTGTCCAAATCAGCGTTAGTCTATAGACTTTCCCAATCATTATGACTCAATGGGACCAAGCAGGCTTAAAGAAAAGATGCTTCAACTTCTCAAGGATGCCAACCGTTCAACACACCTTTTAGAGATTAGTTAGACTTAGGAGTAACAGTTTTTTTTATTGTTTTTAAAGTAAGGTATTTGAATAATTTAGAAGTACATTCTAGTGATGTAATTTTTAAGTCAAGGGCTTCATACTTTTAATATAAATATAGATTATTTAGAGGTGGATCTAGAATCTTTATAATATGGGTGCACCACTAAAAAAGGAGAAAAAAGAAAGTTAAATAAGACATTCAACCAAGTGCATCATTTAGCCTCTTTGGAGTATGAGTGCCAACATATAATATTAGATCAATTTTAGAAAATATGTACATAAAATACCTAACTTAGCGGAGAGACCATGGGTTCGCGTACCCCATATATAAACCTACCCTGACATTATTTATTCATTTTTGTTCCAAAGAGGGCACATTTCTATATATTCAAAATAATTTAACTTTGAAGTTTTCATTTATTTTAGTAACATACTTTTATAATTACAAACATCTCATTATATATTTAAGGCCACACAAAGGTTTAACTTGAGACATTATATTGATTAACTTTGCATCTCGCCATAATATGTTCTACTTGCTTTTTCCTTAGTTGCTCCCATGCACGGAACTTGCGTCTTTTTATTCATTTATTTCGTGACCAATCAAAATATGTATATAATTGAAAGGGACGTAGTAGTTGAGTGTTGAATGATGTCTTCAATTAAAACAAGATAAGTACTCGTAAATCCGAATAAGATTTAACATACGCGATTGGTTTGTGTCTATTCAATAATATTGAATTTTATGAGTTTTTGTTGTCCTCACTCCACAGTCCACAGGCTTCTTGTCCTGCAAAAGGAAATTTTCCAAAATCGCTCACCGGTGGCCAAAATCACACAGTTGGACAAAAATATCAGCCACTAACGAGATATTTACTTTAGCAAATCAAATTACGACCACATGGGGCATTTTCGTCATTTGGTCCTCTTTTATAAACTCCAGAACTCGTGGCCATGACGAACCGGAACCAAAATTACCCGTCAATTCACAACATTCAGACCACTCCTTTTGTTCGAAATTTCTCCTCTGCCGGTTCTCAACTCTACTGCGGCGGTTCATGGCGGGCGCGTGCTCTCCTGTCGCTCGTCGCGTGTTCGGTTCCACTGTCATCGAGCTGTCCAGCAGCAGCTCCCGCACCGGAGCTTCATTTCCGGTCCGGATCTCCACAAGGAGCTATGGCTTATCCGCCTTTGAAGAGAGAGAGGCACCTCAAGGACCTTCCTGTATTTTCGTCGGACCTATTGAAACAGCTAGCAAAGAAACCTTAGAAGCTCTCTACCGTCAGGTAATGCGCATCTCACTGAGCACTGTTAATTTGCACTACTAAGTAAATTAAAGTTGATTGATTATGCAATTGGATCAGAAGGAGTTTGCTCTAATTGACTTCTTTGAAGACCAAAATTACCATGTTATACTCTCGATATTGATTATCTTTGGAGTACTGTATGTTTGAGCTGCTTTTGCTTTAAGTCAAATAGATGATCGCTCATATGTGTCTTCAGACGTTCACCTATTAAATACATATCATGTGTTGATTGACTGAGCTTAATGACTGTGTTCAATGGCTGCCTAAATCGTACTAGTATGTTTTCGTGGTTAAAAGCTAACTGATTGTTGACTACTTTGTGTTTGTCCTTGTTGTTCGAAAATTTGATAATTTGATGAAGAGCTAAAGAAGACAGGAGGAGTATATATGAGCTCATCTACTTGATTTGTCGTACTTTATGTTTGTACTTGTTTGAGGTCTATCTCAGTGACTCTATATATATGAGGTCTGTCTCAGTGACTCTTAGTTCATGATGGATCAGTTTTAATCCCTGCCCCAAATACTGGCCTTATGAAGTATATTATTCAACAAGGATTTATTAGAAGGTGGTGTTTGTGAAAATCCCCTTTAAATTTCTGAAGTTATCAAAGATTGCTGGTAGCAGAGAGAAACTTGGTTTCTTTTTCCTTTTTAAAATCTTTTTTCCCTTGTCCTGCTGCTCTCTGATCTTCTATTTCCGTTTTATCTTAGGCACGTGATGCGTATTACAGTGGGACACCTTTAATAATTGATGATATGTTTGACAGAGTAGAGGTAAGTTTCTCAATGTAGTTGATTTTTCTTTTTTTTTTTTGGTAATGAATTTCTCAATGTAGTTGATAGCCATTGGAAACTATATTTTTCATGTTATTGTTAAAATCCTCATGCAATATTTTGGTACAACAGTTAAAGTTGCGGTGGTATGGTTCAAAGCATGTCGTCAAGTACCCGCGTTGTAGTCTCAGGCGGCACTCAACTTATGCTGATGCAGAGGTGATACTACTGTAATATGAATTGCTTTATGATATGTGCATTTGATTTTTTTTTTTTTTTTTNTAAAATCCTCATGCAATTTTTTGGTACAACAGTTAAAGTTGCGGTGGTATGGTTCAAAGCATGTCGTCAAGTACCCGCGTTGTAGTCTCAGGCGGCACTCAACTTATGCTGATGCAGAGGTGATACTACTGTAATATGAATTGCTTTATGATATGTGCGTTTGAGTTTTTTTTTGTTTTGTTTTTTGGATTGGTGATATCTATTTGTGCCTTGGAATACTTGTTCCATTCATTTTAGGATACTGTAAGCAAATATTTTTAACTCCAAATGCAGGTATCTGAAGTTTGCTTCAAGATTGTACCTTATTATAATATTAGCCTCTGCTGTTTCTTTTCTAAAAAATGTAACTTCTCTAACTTGTTTCTCAAATTAACAGTTACAAAGTTTTCATGTTTCAAACTTGATTCACGTACTTGCCTGGGTCTCGTATGTCTTCACTATATCCTATTAGACAGATATCTTTCTTGGACCTAATATTGCCCTCTATAGATGAAGCCTCTGCATCTGCCGTGGGAAAGGGAAAAAGAAAACGTTGTGGATCACTAACTATTGTTCAATCATTACTTATATCCACAGTTTAGCTGCGCTATTAGCAAATCTAGTTCAGCTGTGACATAATAGAATAATGATTTTATTGTCCTACAGTGGTTTTTCTACCTGTAGACCAGGTTTTCTTCCTACACTTGAATATTGATCAATGTGGATGTAGGGCAGGAAGATCCATCACAGGTGTTTGCATTAGCAAGCGTATGGTTGTTGATTCTTGGGTTTGGGAGTTCATTCTGGATTGTGCCTATAATCTACACCATCGCTCAAGCTTATCAAGACATGTTTGATTCAGGAATGTCCTACACCTATCAATCTTTTGAGTTGTTTACAGTGCTCAACGGAATCCTTTTCATGGTGTTGGGATCTATCATAGGCTTTCCAATTGCTTCAGCCTCTGGTAATGTGTTTTCTTTTTGAATCCTCATTTCTCAAGTTTAATCATTATTAATTGTTTGACATGAGGCCTAATACTGATATATAAATTACTTTGATGTGCTTCTAGAAAGTTTAGTTCAGCGATATTTAACTTAGTTTATATCAAGTCTGTTTCCTTTCTTTGACGTCATCATTCTTTGGTTTCCTTGGTATTCATTAGTTAGGTGTTCTAGTGCAAGTAATATAAGTTGGTGAGAAATATGAGCATCTTTAGTTCCTCAATGGGAAAAGGCTACTTATAAGGAGAAAATGTTTTTCTTTATCCATCTCAATTTACCTGCTATTATCTAAAGCTTTGTTACACAAAAGGATACCTCCAGTTGTGTACACAGAAAGATCTAAGCATCTGAAAGAGATTTTAATTTTAAAATCCTTGTTTGAACCAGCTATGCTAGATTAGCTTTTGAAAAGGAGAAAGCTCAATCATATTTTGACAAGAATTGGAGAGGAAAATTTTGTATAAGATCCTAAATAGTTTCTTTGCCCTTTCTAATTTTGCATTATATTGGCATTGCTGCATAAATGGGTACTAGAGTGAGGTTTGCAACAATTTCTTAAGAAGGTGTCTGTTAGGGATTGTTGTTTCTTAAATTATAATTGTTATGACTTGCCTCCATGTTCTACTGTTGGGTGATGGTCACCAGTGTAAATGTGATTGTTGAACCATGTCTAAAGCAAGGCTGTCCATAGTTTTCTGAGAACTTTTTTCTTCAATGCATTCCAAGTACAATTTATAACTTGAGATAATTAATCACAGTTGGAGCACTTCAAGGACTTTGGAAAAATGACTTGGTCGCTCTGAAAGGGGCATGCCCAAACTGTGGTGAGGAGGTAATTAAGAACTAGCTTCTCACACGTCCACAAATATTTCTAGAAGCTATTGATATGCTTCAAGTGAAGAAGGGTTAAATCTTCTTGTACTGAAATGGATGAATCTTATAGCTCTTGGCACTATTACTCTCAGGTGTTTGCTTTCGTGAAATCAGAGAAGTCCAACCGTTCCCCACATAGAGCTGATTGTCATGTTTGTGGTAGCAAACTAGAATTTCAGACCAAGGTTGAGGTACTTTTGACCATGACTTTGATTCTCATACTCCACACTACATGCTTATTTGGTTGAAAGAATTTTGTACATTTCCTTTTTGGTGTCACTGTTACATTTTTTGTTACTTGCTAGAAAGTGGAGATCATTCTTTTTACAGGTCCAGATAATGTTATATTCATAATTCATGTATACTTGGGCTTTTTCCCTTTACTTTGGATACACTAGTTTGCAAACACATGATAATCCATAAGTATGATTAAGCAAATAATTTGTTGTGATGATAGATCTTAAGCTTTTACTCTAAATAATTATAATTAACATTTGCTTAAAGCAGTCATAGAACTCCTTGTATACTTACTGCTTCAGCTTATCTCATTACATGTAAGTAATGGTGTAGTCGTCATATTTACTGTTTCTTGTGTCTGAAAATAATGAGTCTTTTTTATGATATGATTATTCTATTTTCAATTTTAGAACTATTGCAAGATCATTTCATGTTATGCCATCGAATGGTTTATAAGAGCAAGATAAAACCATAAATCTTAAGGTGTTAGATGGATTTGTTTTTCTTGAGTTTGGATGTGTTTTCTTAGTTATTTTAGTTCATAACCATAGATAAGTTGAATAGTTTTTCTTTTAGTGATGATCTGACTTACTATTTAAATTAATATTGTAACTCTTCTTTACTATTTTTTATTTTTTCGTTATTATCAATTTTCTCTCTGCATTTTAAAAAATGCCTAATTAATTTCGATTCTTCACCATTCACATTCTTTTCTCGTCCAAATATATAATTGAGCTAATACTATGTGCTTTTACTGCAGCAATCCATCTCAAGACCTGGCAGACGTTGGGTTTATGGTCGCGTTTACTTAATTAGACAGAGGCAACGATGGGCATGACGATGATGTTAATTTCATTCCCCTCTGTTAATCCTGAAGGTCACGAAGCGTTATGTACAGCAAGATCTTCTCATTTACCGTCTCAAATCCAAGTCAGCGCCACATCTCATATCATGAAAACACAAACTAGTGTAATAGAAAAATTCTGCCCATATATCTGGAAACGTTAATGTATTTGTTCGTGCTTGAGAAAATATAGTGAACAGATTTTATTTTATTTTGGTTAAAATTGAACAGATAATTTTTTTTTTTTTAAATCAATAATATCTCATTTTGTCTATATGTGAACTGGCAGTTGGTAGTAGCATAATCCAGGATCAGGCTGGCTCCTCTCGCTCAGCATCTCTACCTCTATGTCCATTTACATCATAATCATATAGTATAATTTATCTTAAAATTCAAAACAATGAAAATCATTAGCAGGCTCTTCAAAATTGGCAAATTAATAGATGAAGAAAGGCGATACTATCCTGATCAAGTTTAACTACTTAACAAGGAAAAGGTGTTTGAAAAGATACAAGCAAAGGTATCGTAATTTGGCATATCAACATTTTGCTTTCCATATTTTGCCTCGATGCAATTTGAGGCTGCTTGCCAAGGAGACTGGCTTAACATTATTTAGCGAAATGCCTTGGGGAGATGTTGCATCTTGGAATACAGTAATTGGAGGCCTAATGCATAATGAGCAGATTAGAGATATTATGAGGTGCTTCCCTCAAATGCAAACAGAGAATGTGTCACCTGATAAGCTTATTATCCGCTTGTGCAAAAGCTGAGAATATAATTGATAGACGACAAATTGATTAAAATGCTTTAGTTGAGATGGAATTGGGGGACATGTTATTTAAGGGTGGCGATAAGGAGAGACTGCTGAATTTGTTACCAAGAGTATTAAGGATAAAAGCAAATCCTACTTACCTAAGAGAGGCTATGAAACAAACATAATTATTGGGTCAAAAGCATGGTCTGCACTCTGAAGAAGAGCAAAGAATGCTGAACAAATACATGTTAAGAAACTATCTTTTGCAATGGTAAAGCTACCATGTTCCAGATTATACTGAAGATAATATTGCACAGTCGAAAAGTGGCCGTGAATATCAACCAACATTGTCATTGAGGGAAGTTCATCTTAACAACAGAAATAACACCTTGTGCATCTTCCAAAATATGAGTTCTGAGTTGAAAAGTGCTACGAAGAGCAAGAGCAGCCAAGTTGAGAAGCCTACATCAGAAGTGAGCCAAACTGTAGACTAGGGTCCACAAAAGCTGTGCGAAAAGTAATACAAGCAACAGGAAGAAAAACAAAGGAAATTAGCAATAAGAGAGACAATGGTAACGGACATAACTTGTTTTTCACTTATACAAGAGGGTAAAAAAGGGGTCGAAAGGAAGTTCAAAGTACCAGAAAGAGTGTCACAGAAGCAAAAAGCCCTTCCTGCAGGAGAGCTCCATGCCCACCAAATTCTTCTTCATCAACTTTTAGCACCATTGCATAATAACAATAGATAATACCCGTTGAAAGTGCAAGAAACCTAAGTTTAAGAAAAATACAACTATTATTGCAAGTGATTAGTTTAATCACTACAGGATTTAAAATTACGGCCAAATATTTGAAAATTAGGATGATGTTCAATTCAAGCAACCAACATCCTTCCATTAAAAGAAGGAGAAGCAGATTCCAACTCGATTTCCTGTCAGTTGTATAAATTGCCCAACCATGTGGTCTCAGCTATTAAGCACCCGGAAATTCTCTCCTTAGAAGCAACACATCTTAATTCTTACCGAACGCAAAGAAATATTTCTAGTGAAATATAAGTGCTCATTCTCAACGTGTGGAAGCAAAAGAGCCTTGCTGATATTTCCTTCTTCTCTCTCTCTTCTTACATTATTCCCCATTCACTTCTTCCTTTTTTGCCCTAGGGATAACATATACATTTCTCCCATTAAAAGAATAAACCTTTCTAAGAACCAGCTCCATACACAGAAAAATTAGTAACATAGAGTGCTAAGTCTTGGAAAGAAGGAAATGGCAATACATTCTGGCATTCTGCTACGATCCCTGATAACTCTGAAACAGAAAATTGGGGTTATGGTTGTATATAAGGTCTTTTGTTTATTAAAAATTGCAGAATTGGGTTCTAATTCTGTTTGTTACCCGGTACATGTGCTAGTGGAAGGTAGCAGGTGCCCTATGGAATTAGTCAACGTGCGCGCAAGCTGGCCCAAACACCACGGTTATCAAACAAAAAACTAGCAGAGAATTTCACTTCACATATTGGGAACTTATAAATATGAATTTGGATTACTGTATATTGTGGTTCATCATGCATCAAATGGTATAACTAGAAACTGTTTATATGAAGAATAGGCTTCAAAAAGTTCAGCATCCATGAACATCTTAATCGGTTTACCTCGGCATGAGTCTTATAAATGCTAGGTGACTACCAAATAGCAAAAAGAATATGAGCTTCAAATCTTATATGTTTAACCATTACCATAGATCTCCACCATATGAAGCAAAATTATCGCAGATTTGCTCCTAAGACACTACCTTGGGTTCAAGATTCTGCCTTTGTCCTACATTTAAGTATTTTTATGATAAGTAATCAAAGATTTTATAAATGCTTGCACTATGCCAGTGTGACAAAACATAACTACGGATTGCGCAGATAGCCTATTATATCTAAAATTGCATCAACCAAAAAGCTACCAAAAAAATAGAGCTTCGTTTAAGGCTATGTAGACTTCTCCTACGGCCTTCAAAAATTCTTTCATTTCTTTCAAGCCAAACAGTCCACCAAATGGCTTGAGGGTTGGTATTCCAAGTCTATTGTCATTTCTTGCACAACCCTTCCTTGTACCAACAACATTGCAGTAGCTTCTTAGTGGATTTTGGCATGGTCCAGAACATGCCAAGGATTGCCAGAAACATGCTCCACAGCTGACTAGTAACTCTACAATGCAAAAAAGAGGTGGCCAACATCTTCAGAGTGATCTTCACATTGGGGCACTTACTAAAAAGCTGAAATCCCCTCTTTTGCAGGTTGGAATGAGTGAGACAAGCCTCCCTCCTACATTTAAGTCTTCTCCTTCAACTTTTCTCTCCCTAATCAAAAGTTCCGTGTTCAATCACTCATTGACAAATGACAACACCCAATGCTTCAAGGTAACTCAAAAAAAGGATCAATCTCCTTAGTGCCTGTATATTTTTTTTAGTAAGGTAATTCTCAATGCCTGTGTTTTTGAGGAAGACATAAAGTCCCTATCTGAAAGGGTTTAGAGACAGTTAGATGTACTGACTTATCTTTTCATTAGAGAGAGGCTATTCAAAGTAATTGGAAATCTTATTACCTGAATGGGTCTAAAGACTGTTAGTTGTAGAATCTGAAACTTCTAACTAATTGGAACAATTTTCAAAGACTATCACTTAGAAAAGAAATAGAGAGAAACAAAAAAGGACACGGACATTCACCTCACTCCTCAAAGAGAAATTCTTACTCCAGGAGAAGAACAGTGTCCCCTTCCAGTAAGCACCTAAGGGCTAAGTGGGTGGACCTAGAGGTCAATAAAGTGGGAAAAAATCATGGGAAACCGGGGTTCAAATTCCAGTAGAGAGCTAGAGACAAAAGTTCTAGTGGAAGATAGCAGGTACATGGTGGAATAGTCGAGATGCGAGCAAGCAGACTCAAACTCCACCATTATATATTTTAAAAAAAAAAAAGCCGTCCTTCAAGTCATCTGACGATTAAAGGCTCGAGCAAAGAATTATTATGCCGGCTCTAAATAAAGACCTGTTCTTTTTTGAATCTTTTACCTGATTTAATCATATCTAAATATTCTATTAATAACAATTTATTATTTCAATAAGGAAACTAAATCAACAACAACAACAACTACCTAGTAAAATCCCACAAAGTGGGGTCTGGGGAGGGTAATGTGTACGCAGACCTTACCCCTACCCTGATAGGGCAGAGAGGCTGTTTCCAATAGACCCTCGGCTCAAGGAAACTAAATCAAATATTCATTAATTTCTTACCCAAAGAATAATTAGAAACATTTTTAGAATCCAAATCAAAGAGTCTAAATAGTCTAGAAGAAGTTGTTGAAGTACTTTAATGAAGCCATTTAAACTACCAAAATGGAATTTTTTGAAATTACTTTCCCAAAATTAGTGAAGTCAAGAGGGACTTGCTCAAATACAGATAAGATTGAAGATTGAAATGCTCCTACAGAAATTGAAGTACATTGATGATCAAAGAAGTTCATGACAACTACGCATGCTCCCATACATTCTTATACTTGTTTCTTGTGTATCCTCCCATTATCCTTTTTTATTAAGTTCAATCCATTTTTGGATCACTTTTTCAGAGCTAATATGACATTCTTTCCTATGCATTTCTAAGAGATTCCCCCTCCTCAGTAGACGTGATCAGGATGAAAGGGCTTTCTTTCACTAGCATTGAGTGAAAGGCTATAGCCTCTTAGTCAGCTTTGTCTTCAAACTAATCTCCCCCTCCCTCACTATACGCTCAGATTTCACCCTTTTCTCCTTAACTACTTCAATAGGGAAGATATAACTAATTTTTCCGTTCCCTGCCTGTTTCAGTTTGCTTTCTTGTTAATGACAACAAATGCCCCTGGTTGTCTTAAGATATCCTCAGACAACCAGCCCCTATTTTTTGAAAAATCCTTACATTCAGTTTCCTTTCTTGTTAATGAATGTTTACAGACATCATAATTTTAATATTGACATAAAATTCTGGAGCAATTTCCATGCTATGACAGTTTGTCGTCCATGTAAACAAAGCAGAACAGTATGTACAAACACGAAGAGTTACCNTAAAACTAATTTTTCTGTTCTCTGCCTGTTTCAGTTTCCTTTCTTGTTAATGACAACACATGTCCCTGGTTGTCTTAACATGTCCTCAGACAGACAGCCCCTATTTTTGAAAAAACCTTACACCCATGCCTCCTAGATGAATGAATGTTTACAGACCATCATAATTTTAATATTGACATAATAGTCTGGAGCAATTTCCATGCTATGACAGTTTGTCCAAGTCCATGTAAACAAAGCAGAACAGTATGTACAAACACGAAGAGTTACCATATAAGCTAACTGAAGTAAGAAAGTTGCCCAATGTGTGTCACTTTTACAAGAGCTGATCAACTGATAATAAGCAATGGACGAGAGCTAATGAATTGAAATAAACTCAA